AGAGAGAGAGAGAGAGAGAGAGAGAGAGAGAGAGAGAGAGAGAGAGAGAGAGAGAGAGAAAGAAGGAGCAAGGGCGTGCGAGCGAGAGAAAGAGGAAAAGTGCCACTCGACGAGAGAGGAACCAATACTACGAGATCCCTTTACAAACGAACTCACAAACTCACAAGGCCTCCTCTCCGGCGCGGGGTATACCGTCGGCAGCTCTCGACAGAGAGAGACGCACTTTTCGGGCCCTCAACCCTTTCTAGACTCGCCCGTAAGCCCACGGGGCCCACCTGGCCTCTTCTTTACCACTACCACCCGCCACCTCCAGCACTACTACTACTATCACCATCGCAATCACCATCGCCACCACTACCGCCGTCGTCGCTGTCGTCGTTGCACTCATTGGATACACGTAGAGTATCGCTGATGTGCCACCACTACCAACGAATCGGTAACCACCACCACCGCCAACACCTCCTGCCGACCGGCCGGCTCTACCTCTCTTCACGCTTACCTAGGACCAGACAGAGAAAGAGAGAGAGCGAGAGAGAGGGAGAGTGACAGCGGGAGAGAGAGAGAAAAAAGAAAGAGAGTGAGAGAGTGAGAAAGAGAGAGTGAGAGAGGGTCTCGGCTTTGCGCAAAAGTTACGACGGAGCAGTGAGACACACCACGGAGACCGGAAGAGACCCTCTCTCCCTGAAGAAGTCCTCCGGCGAGAAGAGTGAGAGAGTGAGAGAGAGAGGAAGAGCGAGTGAGGGAGGAAAAAAGAAGGAGAAATAGAGAGACAGACAGAGAGAGAAAGAGAGAGGGGGAGAGAGAGGAAGAGAAAAAGAAAGAGAGGGAAAGAGGGAGAGAGAGAGAGAGAGAGAGAGAGGGAGAAAGAGAGAAAGAGAGCGAGAGACAGTAAACACGCGCGAAAAACGTACGCCGCTTCCAATCGAGAGTGTCACCGCGTGTGTGCGTGCGGGAGTGCGGTACCGACTATCACGAGGAAACCGACAACATCGTCGAGCATCCTCCTTGCTGTTCGCCGCGTGTTCACATCGCGAAACCACGTGGTCCGCCTAGTCTGTTTCTTCCTTCTTCTATATACATCTCGCAGAAATTCGTCGCTTCGGATCTCCTAAGTTATCTGAAATCGGCGACTTGCTGGCGATGTAAATCTTCTTGACAGCGTGTCATCGCGTTTATCGTCTTCAACGCCTGCGAGTGACTTGTATATAGAACGAGAAAACGATTTGTGACATGTGCTTACTAAACACGTGATTTTACAGGCGCACACGAGTTCTTTAATCGGATACGTCAACGGAAGAAGGATCCTGAAGCGATGTCAGAAGAACCTGCTCCATTTTCACTTTAAACATCAGAATCGGAGTTGTGTGTCAAAATTTCAGTGAGCTCGTGATAGTTGAGGTTTGTTGACGGAAAAGTGGTACGAGGAAGTGAAAAGGTAGCGGAATAAATAAAAGGAGAAGAAGAAGCAGATACGTTAGTAGAAGAGAAAAAGAGAACAAAAGGTAGAGGAGGAAGAGAAAGGTAAAGAAGAGGAAGAACAAGGGGAAGAAGAGAAGAAAGAGGAAACCGTAGAAGAAGAAGAAAGTGAAGAGAAAGAAGTAGATGAAGAAATAGAAGTGAGAGAGAAAAAGAAGAGAAGGTAGAAGAAGAGAAAGAGGAAGGAAAAAAGAAGAAGCTTTAAAGTGGAGACCAGGCTTGCTGCTCGCTCGCCGCTTACGTACCAGCAAGAGCGGGCCGCGTTGTGTAAGAGCTGAAAGTAAAAGTTGAAACTGCCGACTTCAGCTCGCGGGAGCGCGTGCTGCGCGCGCTAAAATCCGATCCTGCCTCCTGTAGGCTGGGCACAGCCGAATATCTCCTGCCTGCCTCTCTCTCTCTCCGTGCCGAATATCTCCTGCCGCTCTTTCACCGGCGACTTCTCGGCCCGCGCGCGCTCTTTCTCTCCCGAAGAAAAGCAAAAAGAGACCGAGTGCGCGCGCGAGTGTGTACGCTTGGATTCGCGTGATCGCGGACGCCACCCTGACGCCCTTGACAAGAAACACCACGGAGGATCTACGTACTCCGGACAAGTCGGAGAGGGCGTGCTAGGGAGAGAGCCAGGAGAGAAGAGAGAAGAGGGACGGCGCTCCGTTCATTGCGTAACGACATTTTCTAGTCTGCTGCTTCGCGAAATACACTCGCGCGCGGTATTTCGCTCGCTCGCTCCTCCGCGCGGAGGTGTTCATCGACGTAAGTGCATATGAGCGAGTTGTTCGCGTCGTGGTGTGGCCGAAAACGCGAGTCGTTAGCACCAGGCTCGCGCCGCGAGCCACGGGCGACAGCGAGAACGAACGATGGAAAGTAATTGGCCCCGCGCGTTTCACTTCGTCCAGCGCGGAACGCGAGTGTTCAAGGTCACCGTCGCTGGTATCCCACCGGTAATCCGTTTCCGGAGTTGCTAGAGAGCGGTCTTCATCATCGCGAGCGGCATCCCGGCAGCACCGTGGAAGGACTCGACGCGTGCGAATTTAACCTGTCTCTCTTTCTCTCTCTTTCTCTCTCTTTCTCTCCGCCGGTTCACGATCGGCAGCGCGCTCGCTTTTACCTCGCCGCCTCGTCCGGGCGCAGAAGTTTCGCAAAAGGGATTACAACACGCAGAAGAGAAAGGAGACAGACGGACGGAAAGGGTGACGCGAAAGGGAAAAGGACGGCGAAGAAAGAGAGGGACAGACCGTGACAGAGAGGGAGAGGAGGAGGAGGAGGAGGACGAGGAGGAGGAGGAAAACGAGAAGGAGGAGGAGGAGGAGGAGGAGGAGGACGAGAGGAACACACCGCGATACAACATCCGTGTGCGGGAAAACCACAGGGGGAGGAGGAGGCGGGAGAAGAATTTCTCGCGCGAAGGACAGGAGAGTCCTCGCGATCGTCGCGTGGTTCGACGACGAGGACGAGGAAGGCGTCGAGCCGGAGAGAAGCCGAGAGGGCTCGCTCTCTCGAAACGAGGAGAAAGAGGCGGAGAGCAGACCGCGGTAGTGAAGGACGTGTTTGAAAGACGATCCGGATGTGGCGAGATCCATTCGCTTTCCGTTCTCCTGTTCGCTCGTCGATCATCACCGAGCGCCGACGTCGGACCGTCCGACGCTAAACTCGCGGAGGTGTCATCGTCAACGACGTCGTCTCCGATCAGCTGCGGGATTTGACAATCCACCTCATAGACACTGGGAGCCACGGGGAAACCGCGAGAACCACACAGCGCCACGTTCGGGGACACGCGGCCGAGTGGAATTAAAAGTGCGTTTAAAAAGGTTAGCGGGATAAAAAAGGCGCGCGCGCGCGCGCACTCGAAAGGATAAGAGAAAGGAATAGGAGCCACCTCTGAGTCCTTGAGAGTACTCAACGGGTAAAAGTGCCGCGCGCAGAGCCAGCCGGTTGACCCTGGGCAGTCAACGGAGCAGATCCCGCTGGAAAAAAGTTCTCCACGTCGTCGTCGTCGTCGTCGTCGCCGTCGTCAACATCGTCAACAGCGTCACTCTTCAAAGTTATCGTCGTTGTCACGTCGCGAAACTCACGAGACGACGTCCGGTTCGAGTCGTCTCTTTCTCTGCCGCGCTCGGTCCACGCTTGAAGTTTTAGGCGATCTAAATCGCCTAAATCGCCGAGGACGCGCGTCGTGCCTAGTGCGTCGTGGGTGCGTGCGTGCGTGCGTGCGTGCGTGCGTGCGTGCGTGCGTGAGGCGGAACCACGTGTGTGACGTCGCGCGGGACGCGCGATCGGAAGCGCGGCGGGACCAGGACGCGATTGTGAGCAGGATCGGGAAAAACAGCTGACCGCGAACAACGACGTCCTCGACGGAGAGAGTCAACCAAGTCCTCCTCTCCCGGCGACCTTGCCTGACTGGCCCCCGCGAGAGAGATTTGCGTTCAGTTCCGCCGTGCGAGACCAGGTGCAACTGCGCGAAGAACCGCGTCCACCGTTGTGAAGTGGTACGAAGTGCCGGCGCCGGTATAACAACGTCGACGGTACGAGTTCCGCGAGCGGTCACGTTCGTTTCCCCCGTTCGACGTTGCTGCTACTGATCTGTTTTTCTCGTGCCAGTGGTGATCCATGCCGCGGAATATCAATGTACGTCACGTGCCCGCGTCCACGTCTTCGTCGCCGTTGTCACGGGATCTTGGGTCGTCGTCGTCGGCTCGCGCAGGGGATGCCACCTCGTGACTCCACGAGAGAATCCTGAGGGATATATTTATCGTGCCGCATCTCGCACACCCTGGACACCGCCGATCACGTCGGACAGCGCGGGCAGCGTTAGAAAAAGCGCAAGGTGAGAGAAATAAGCGCGAGAGCGCGAGCGTCTTGGCGATAGCTTAACAGGTGTAATGCCGATTCGGTTATATAACGCGCTTCCTCCTTGGAAGTCTATTTTTATTGCGGAGAGATCGCGGAACGCCGTCAGCTGATGCGCTTTTTACTCTCTCGTAAATTAAGCGATCGACTGCTTGCTGAAAAATTCATCGCGAAAGATGATTTCAATATTGATGTTGCCCAACCGAGCGGTTCGCGTCAAATTGCGCTACGCGTAATTGCGATGTAGGGTTAATTCTACTGCGATATTATGAGTTGAATATGTATCCAGATGGACAGCTGCACGATCGCGGGCAAGAAGGTTGTCCGTAATTTTTGAGGCGTGTTTGTGAATTTGTCTGTCTTGCCCAATGACAGCGTTCTCCCTTTGGACAAGACGGATAGTCTTGTCTACAAAATCGACCCAAAAAGCATGGGCAACCTTTTTGTCTGCGGACATACGTCAATTTGGCACGCTGGGACATGTCCTCCTGAAGCGCATAGATCAATATACAGTGTATAGCTGTGCAAATGTAGCTGTGCAAATGTAGAATATATATAAATATATGTAAATATAGAGAGTAAATATAAAGAGAACAAATTAAAATAAAGGAAAGAAAAAATAGATAAAATATATACATATACGTGTATATGAAAAAATAAATAAAAACATATTATATATAAGAAAAAGAAAAATAAAAAATGGGGAAAAAGACTGAGAGAGACTGTGGTAGAAGATGAAAGTTTGCTATGTAAATAAAATACACAATAGTACATACCGCGCGTGTGTTTTGTTTTTGGTAAATGTAAAAAATAATGTTGTTACTATGATTATAATAGCGGACATGTAGTGTTCTGGTGCTTTAAATAAGCCGTTCCGCTGTCGCTGATGCATAATGTTTTGACAGTACATTAACAGAGAGAAAGAAAGGGGGATAATTAAATGGGATTAAGGGGAGCGATCAGAGAGAAATTGTACGCCATGATGTTAGCCCGTTAGCCGGTTCCGCCTCGATCTTGTTATTATCGCACAAGCGTACGATATTTTGTTAGCGAGTCGGCTCACGCGTGTGACAGTTCGGCACGCATGAGTGGGGTTAGAGATGATCGATGATGTAATGTGGACACAAGCGTTGGGAAATATTTACGGTCACTTTTACACGAACATGATAGGATAAAAGTGAAGAGAGATACAGATATCGATTCACGACGAGGATCGACACCAGTCGCGCGAGGACACGATATCAGGCGGTCACGAATCCTTGATGCGACTCTCCAATGCCTCTCGATAGCCACGTGTGTTGGCTTTTCCGGTATTCGTATTCGTATTCGATCGACGTGGTAGACGAATTAGTGTTCCTCAAGTTACAGCCAGGACATCGTCCGCCATTTGTAGGGAAGAGATGAGTGAGTGAGTGAGTGAGTGAGAGAGAAGCTGCAACGTGCGTCGTCATGTTAGAGCTTCTCTCTCACTCCTCTACTAGAATTTTTCTCTTAGTCTCACTCACGTCACCCCTAAAAATAACAGACAGGATGCAGACCAATTAGGAATCATCATGCCTTGTCCTAATTCCGGCTAGAGGAACGCCAGCCGACATCTTCGACGGCTCGGCCGAATCGCTGAGATTTGTATCGATCAGCGTCCGCGAAACGGTGAAACTGCGTTACCGATAATGAGGCAATTGTCTCGGCGGTGAGAACTGACATTCCGCGCGATTGGACGCAGGAGGCGGTGTAAATTAATGTGGCGACGTAATTGGTCGCAAAAACGACGGCGAGGCCTAACGTGCCTGTCGAGAGACAGGTAGATGGATTGCGGCGTGGCCGCGCTGACAATGGGAAAATATGATCGCGCGGGGCTACGGAACAAATGACACAGTTATTGGTCTCTTAAAAAACTGTCCTCGTTTTCGTTCGAGAGAGAAAGAAAGAGAGAGAGAGAGAGAGAGAGAGAGAGAGAGAGAGAGAGAGAGAGACAGAGAAAGAGAGAAAAAGACAGAGAGAAAAAGACAGAGAAAGAGAGAGAGAGAGCGCTAAACGATATGAACACTAAACAATAACCACGCTTGCAAGGCGGCGAAGTGCGAATCTTCGCGTTGTATGTCGCGTGGATATTCGCTGCGTCGTGAATTGCTAATGCGATATCCCACGGGGAAATGCATTGTTCGCGCGGCCGGGCAAATATAATGAGCCTGCAATCGTAGAAATGGCTTTTCACTCGCGCGCAACTCGGCGCGCACTACGGTGAGAAACGCGGTTATTGTTGGTGTCGATTGTACGCGCCGGAACCTTGCCTCGCAGAAAGTTTCCGCTCTAATCTTAGATTTATACACTGAAAAAAGGGATAGTAGAGGAGATTTACTAAAATCGTACTGGTCCTCTAAATCGCACACACCTCAAATTACCAAGTACTAGCACTACACTATTTGGTAATTGTGTGTGTGACCAAATTATTTAACTTCAATTATGTGGTTATGTTATAAGTTATAATTTTTTACCCATATAATTTTTTAACCATATTATTTGGTTATAATTATTATTTGTCAGCAATTATCAAACCATTTAATTTATTAGTTCAATTGCATGAAGAGTTCGTTTCACTAATTATTTCGTAATTATTACGAAAATAATTGTATGCATAAACTGTTACCTCAAATTTGATGCTAACTACCAAACACTGCACTGAAACGCTCAACCAAATTTGCATTTGTTACCTATTAAAAGGTGCTTTTCTTTCTCTCTCTCTCTCTCTTTTTCTTATGTGCTGGTGGTTCAGCAAGGTAAAAATTTTGACATTTGGCAGCTACTTGGGATGTCGCCTCGGGAAAGCGGTAAAAACAAGAAGCGCGCGCGCGAAATCGCGTCTCGCGGCGACGCGAACGAGAAGTACACTTAATATCATACGCCGGGGAACGCGGCGGCTATAAACTCTCTCGTGAGAAGGCAGGAAGGCAGGAAAACTTCTTCTGTGCATAATAATTCAAGTTCAGCGGCGCACCATGGTCGGCAGTATGGATGGCTGTTGTGTAACCGTTTTTAAAGAAAAGAAAAAGAAAAGAATTACACCGAAGAGCCGCTCCTCGCGTTCGCGCGAGTCCAATGTGGTCATCAATGGCGCGGAATGACGAATCGGAAAGAAAAAGCGATCTCCAGTCAAGGTCGCGTATCGAAAGGTGCCTTTGCGCGTTCGCCATTTCGTATTCATCTTGTCATTATCTCTCTTGGACGAGAGCTCGCACGGCGCGTTCTCTTACATAGTCCACACGGACTGCATAGAGTGTGCATCGACGCGTATACATCGCGTGAATGCAACAAAAGTCACGACCGGGCCCCGAAAGGTGAACGAGTCGAAATTCCGGGTTTCCACCACTTTTTTTACGAATCACATCACGCTCGCCGCTCTTTTCTGGACACAGCGCAAAAAAATAAGTCGCGGCTTGAGAAAGCTTATTTGGTAAGCGACAGTTGATGCAAATATTCTGCTTTTTTTATCAATATGCGCAGAGTGCACAAGATTTTTTCTCCTTGTGTTGACTCGATACTAATGTTATTTTCGAGGAGAAGAGGTAGCGATAGCTCGCATATTTATCCGTGCAATTTTTTCCCGCAGCTTGGATTATTGTTGACAATCTTAACATCTCACTCGATTCACTTTACATTCCATTTATTTAATTATGTTGTTTGACGGCTCCTATATACGGTCTCATCTTCCTCTTAATTCGTTTGTATCTGAACTTCAAGAGTTTAGATACATAATTTCGTTCATTTATTTAATGTCTTTATCACTCTTCGAATTCTTTGCACTTTGAAGGCGCCGCCATGTAAAATTTCTCATGAAACCCGTGAAACGCCACGATGACGCTTTTCCGATAAAGTCAGTTACTAAAAGTAGCGTTAGCTAGTTTAGATTAAGATTTAACATTCGAAAGGCGCCGCCGCAACATTTCACGAGTTTGATAAGAAATCTCAGATGGCGCCGCTACGGCGCCCTTGTTGAAGCGCCAAGAGTTAATATCATTTTATGTAGCGCAAGGCCGATGAAAAGCTTGTGAAAGTGACATCTGTCTTTCTGAACTGAAAAGGCAGAAATCACTCGAAGAGAATCGGAGACTCGGAGGCTTCTCCGACGAACAATCTCCGATAAGCTTCTCCTGATGTCGCAACCGATAATACCTGTTTACAGGCACTCAAATGTAAATCGCAAATGAGTTTCCTCACGTTAATTAGCGATAGCCTGTTACATTGTCGTTTCGCACGACGTCCACGCGAATAAATTTGGCCGCGTCAACCGTCCGATTCAGCTGAAGCCACGCGTATCTCAGGACTTAACGCGCAACGGAGATTTACGATCAAATCGTTTAACGCACAACCGCAAACATTTGACGATCGTTACACGCGCGCGCGCGCGCGGCTCCAAATACATTCCGCTGTCACTCTCCTTGAATTCCGTCGAAGCGACTTCGCGGAGGTGCTCGAGTCTTGACGTGCAATTACCACGTTACGCGGCCATGAAAAGGAATCAGCGAGAGAAGCTGCTCGTCTGTAGTTGAGCGAGAATGATCGGCGATTAATACCAATTTCCGCTGATATACGTTTTTAATTGAACGGATATCCGGGAAAGCACAACAACAGATTGCTGTTTGAACTTCCGGGAGCAAAATTTTGCGAAAATAAGCGAAAAAAGTGGAACGAGCATCAAGCAATGTTGGATATTAATCGATTGAAGATTTCTTTGACTGAAATAATCAGATAATCAGCAATAAAAATTGACCAGCCGTTATGTAGAAAGTCGCAAATAATTTCATCGATTTATAGAATTCATTATGAATCGAACTTGGATGTGACTGATTACACGCTGATTAACGATCAATTTCATCAAATGATTAAATTATTCATGATTACATTTATGACCATTGATATTCGAGATTTGCCGATTGTTTTAATCAAAGAAAATTTTAATTAGAAATTTTTTAGTTGTAA